TGCTGTAACTTGGCCAAAAAAGGTCCTACACCAAAAATTCATACTGTTTTGAACAGATAACAAAATTTGCTATAAATCCATAAAACTTTCCGTGTAATTTTGGAAAAATAAAATTTTCGCCAATTTTTAATTTTTTTATAAGGGGGTACCCCATGATTTTTTGCGAAAAATTAAAAATGAATAAATTGTCAAGGTTTAAATGCCAATCGTTAGGAAATTTAATAACGAGTTCAGAAAGGTATGACAATCCATACTTTGAATCAGTATTTGCTTTGTTATAGCGAAAAAACTGCAACGTTTTAGCGAAAAAACGGGTTTTGTTTTTTTTGGAAATTCGCGATTTCAGTTTTTGACAAAAATTGGAATTTTTTCTTTTGGTTTTTTTGCTGTAACTTGGCCAAAAAAGGTCCTACACCAAAAATTCATACTGTTTTGAACAGATAACAAAATTTGCTATAAATCCATAAAACTTTCCGCGTAATTTTGGAAAAATAAAATTTTCGCCAATTTTTAATTTTTTTATAAGGGGGTACCCCATGATTTTTTGCGAAAAATTAAAAATGAATAAATTGTCAAGGTTTAAATGCCAATCGTTAGGAAATTTAATAACGAGTTCAGAAAGGTATGACAATCCATACTTTGAATCAGTATTTGCTTTGTTATAGCGAAAAAACTGCAACGTTTTAGCGAAAAAACGGGTTTTGTTTTTTTTTGGAAATTCGCGATTTCAGTTTTTGACAAAAATTGGAATTTTTTCTTTTGGCCAAAAAAGGTCCTACACCAAAAATTCATACTGTTTTGAACAGATAACAAAATTTGCTATAAATCCATAAAACTTTCCGCGTAATTTTGGAAAAATAAAATTTTCGCCAATTTTTAATTTTTTTATAAGGGGGTACCCCATGATTTTTTGCGAAAAATTAAAAATGAATAAATTGTCAAGGTTTAAATGCCAATCGTTAGGAAATTTAATAACGAGTTCAGAAAGGTATGACAATCCATACTTTGAATCAGTATTTGCTTTGTTATAGCGAAAAAACTGCAACGTTTTAGCGAAAAAACGGGTTTTGTTTTTTTTGGAAATTCGCGATTTCAGTTTTTGACAAAAATTGGAATTTTTTCTTTTGGTTTTTTTGCTGTAACTTGGCCAAAAAAGGTCCTACACCAAAAATTCATACTGTTTTGAACAGATAACAAAATTTGCTATAAATCCATAAAACTTTCCGTGTAATTTTGGAAAAATAAAATTTTCGCCAATTTTTAATTTTTTTATAAGGGGGTACCCCATGATTTTTTGCGAAAAATTAAAAATGAATAAATTGTCAAGGTTTAAATGCCAATCGTTAGGAAATTTAATAACGAGTTCAGAAAGGTATGACAATCCATACTTTGAATCAGTATTTGCTTTGTTATAGCGAAAAAACTGCAACGTTTTAGCGAAAAAACGGGTTTTGTTTTTTTTGGAAATTCGCGATTTCAGTTTTTGACAAAAATTGGAATTTTTTCTTTTGGTTTTTTTGCTGTAACTTGGCCAAAAAAGGTCCTACACCAAAAATTCATACTGTTTTGAACAGATAACAAAATTTGCTATAAATCCATAAAACTTTCCGTGTAATTTTGGAAAAATAAAATTTTCGCCAATTTTTAATTTTTTTATAAGGGGGTACCCCATGATTTTTTGCGAAAAATTAAAAATGAATAAATTGTCAAGGTTTAAATGCCAATCGTTAGGAAATTTAATAACGAGTTCAGAAAGGTATGACAATCCATACTTTGAATCAGTATTTGCTTTGTTATAGCGAAAAAACTGCAACGTTTTAGCGAAAAAACGGGTTTTGTTTTTTTTTGGAAATTCGCGATTTCAGTTTTTGACAAAAATTGGAATTTTTTCTTTTGGTTTTTTTGCTGTAACTTGGCCAAAAAAGGTCCTACACCAAAAATTCATACTGTTTTGAACAGATAACAAAATTTGCTATAAATCCATAAAACTTTCCGCGTAATTTTGGAAAAATAAAATTTTCGCCAATTTTAAATTTTTTTATAAGGGGGTACCCCATGATTTTTTGCGAAAAATTAAAAATGAATAAATTGTCAAGGTTTAAATGCCAATCGTTAGGAAATTTAATAACGAGTTCAGAAAGGTATGACAATCCATACTTTGAATCAGTATTTGCTTTGTTATAGCGAAAAAACTGCAACGTTTTAGCGAAAAAACGGGTTTTGTTTTTTTTTGGAAATTCGCGATTTTAGTTTTTGACAAAAATTGGAATTTTTTCTTTTGGTTTTTTTGCTGTAACTTGGCCAAAAATGGTTCTACACCAAAAATTCATACTGTTTTGAACAGATAACAAAATTTGCTATAAATCCATAAAACTTTCCGTGTAATTTTGGAAAAATTAAATTTTCGCCAATTTTTAATTTTTTTATAAGGGGGTACCCCATGATTTTTTGCGAAAAATTAAAAATGAATAAATTGTCAAGGTTTAAATGCCAATCGTTAGGAAATTTAATAACGAGTTCAGAAAGGTATGACAATCCATACTTTGAATCAGTATTTGCTTTGTTATAGCGAAAAAACTGCAACGTTTTGGCGAAAAAACGGGTTTTGTTTTTTTTTGGAAATTCGCGATTTCAGTTTTTGACAAAAATTGGAATTTTTTCTTTTGGTTTTTTTGCTGTAACTTGGCCAAAAAAGGTCCTACACCAAAAATTCATACTGTTTTGAACAGATAACAAAATTTGCTATAAATCCATAAAACTTTCCGCGTAATTTTGGAAAAATAAAATTTTCGCCAATTTTTAATTTTTTTATAAGGGGGTACCCCATGATTTTTTGCGAAAAATTAAAAATGAATAAATTGTCAAGGTTTAAATGCCAATCGTTAGGAAATTTAATAACGAGTTCAGAAAGGTATGACAATCCATACTTTGAATCAGTATTTGCTTTGTTATAGCGAAAAAACTGCAACGTTTTGGCGAAAAAACGGGTTTTGTTTTTTTTGGAAATTCGCGATTTCAGTTTTTGACAAAAATTGGAATTTTTTCTTTTGGTTTTTTTGCTGTAACTTGGCCAAAAAGGTCCTACACCAAAAATTCATACTGTTTTGAACAGATAACAAAATTTGCTATAAATCCATAAAACTTTCCGTGTAATTTTGGAAAAATAAAATTTTCGCCAATTTTTAATTTTTTTATAAGGGGGTACCCCATGATTTTTTGCGAAAAATTAAAAATGAATAAATTGTCAAGGTTTAAATGCCAATCGTTAGGAAATTTAATAACGAGTTCAGAAAGGTATGACAATCCATACTTTGAATCAGTATTTGCTTTGTTATAGCGAAAAAACTACAACGTTTTAGCGAAAAAACGGGTTTTGTTTTTTTTTGGAAATTCGCGATTTCAGTTTTTGACAAAAATTGGAATTTTTTCTTTTGGTTTTTTTGCTGTAACTTGGCCAAAAAAGGTCCTACACCAAAAATTCATACTGTTTTGAACAGATAACAAAATTTGCTATAAATCCATAAAACTTTCCGTGTAATTTTGGAAAAATAAAATTTTTGCCAATTTTTAATTTTTTTATAAGGGGGTACCCCATGATTTTTTGCGAAAAATTAAAAATGAATAAATTGTCAAGGTTTAAATGCCAATCGTTAGGAAATTTAATAACGAGTTCAGAAAGGTATGACAATCCATACTTTGAATCAGTATTTGCTTTGTTATAGCGAAAAAACTGCAACGTTTTAGCGAAAAAACGGGTTTTGTTTTTTTTGGAAATTCGCGATTTCAGTTTTTGACAAAAATTGGAATTTTTTCTTTTGGTTTTTTTGCTGTAACTTGGCCAAAAAGGTCCTACACCAAAAATTCATACTGTTTTGAACAGATAACAAAATTTGCTATAAATCCATAAAACTTTCCGTGTAATTTTGGAAAAATAAAATTTTTGCCAATTTTTAATTTTTTTATAAGTTTTTGACAAAAATTTGAATTTTTTTTGTTTTTTTTTTTGCTGTAACTTGACCAAAAATGGTCCTACACCAAAAATACATACTGTTTTTAACAGATAGCAAATAAAGCCTAAACATAAATCTTTAGATCCTATTTTGACCAACGATCAAAAAGGAACGATAACACTATGCAGCATCAAAAATTAATCTCGATGAATGCTATATTTTTGGATTCGTTACGAATTCCCAAGTAAAATTGCGTTTTCCAAAGAGTTCCCCGACGCAAGGATTCTTAGCAAAAGGACCTCAAAGTTCGAAAAATGCTGAAATTGACCAACTTTGCGGAGCTCTCAGAGGCAAATGGATGCATGGCTTGGTTCGAAGTTAAAGTTTTTTAAAAGATACACCCTTTATCTTTCAAACCCCATACATGAAATAATTTTAGGATTTTTTTTTAAGGCAGAAATAAATTCCAAAAAACATAGTCAAAAAACTGAAAAACATACAGCTGCGGTCAAAATAGTAGCAGTGTTGCCGCCTTGTGGTTTTAAAAGTTTGATGTTATAATTTTTTCTTATCCAATTAGTTTAATAGTAAAATTATAATCAATACAATATTACCAGGAAAAGATCAATTACAACAACAAACTTTTAAATACACAGGGCGGCAACACTACTACCATTTTGACCGCAGCTGTATACTTTCATGTTTTTTGACTATGTTTTCTAGAATTTTTTCTGCCTTAAAAAAAATCTTAAAAATTTTTAAGTATGGGGTTTAAAAGATAAAGGGTGTATCTTTTAAAAAACTTTAACATCGAATCAAACCATGCATCCATTTGCCTCTGAGAGCTCCGCAAAGTTGGCCAATTTCAGCATTTTTCGAACTTTGAGGTCCTTTTGCTAAGAATCCTTGCGTCGGGGAACTTTTTGGAAAACGCAGTTTAACTTGGGAATTCGTAACGAATCCAAAAATATAGCATCCATCGAGGTAAATTTAAAAAGCACTAAAAATGCAGCACAGTGTAATCATTAACCCTCCATAAAAATGCGATAATTTCAACTAGTTCATTTCGTCTTTATTTTCAAACATCATGGCATACATGGCATATACAGTAATGGATTTGGCATGCCGCCGTCTTTCAATACGATTAACAATCAATTATCTTATGGTACTAGGCAAAAAAAAGATACATATATGTAGGTATATAGGGGAATATCATAGTAAAATATCGGGTTCGTCATTAAGTATAATCAAAGGTTAGAGTACAAGCATACAGAATACACTTTACAGATACGTACTTGTTTATGGATTGGGCCTAACGTCTGCCTAGCCTACGCTTACTAACTATGGACCAATCGAGCGACTAATCGAGACCTATGCCTAAGCCTAAGAACTAAGTATTTTCGAAGTGGTAAATGCAATGTCTAAACCAGAGCCCACGGATCGCGGGATCACGGGGCCAACATTGATGTTCATCCTATACGTACATGTTCTGCGGGGCTCGGCGCCAATGAAACCAACGAAGCTCTTGAAGAACCCCAGGAATCTATGGGCCCAACATCCCCGATTGAGACGAACAATCAAAAAAAAATCACAAAAAATATAGCCTTAGCCTATGAAGATCCCTCCGCTGCCCATCGTCTAGTCGGAGAACTTTTCCTTGAGCTCGCGGCGCAGGATCTTTCCGGTGGGATTCTTGGGCACCTCGTCCACGAAGATCACGCCGCCCTCGAGCTTCTTGTAGTGGGCCACCCGCTCGGCCACGTAGGCGGAGATCTCCTCGGCGCTGGCCTTCTCGCCCTGGCGCAGCACCACAATGGCGCGCGGAGCCTCGCCGTTGAGCTCGTGGGGAATACCGAAGACGGCCGCCTCCAGGATCTTGGGGTGATCGCGCAGCACTGCCTCCAGCTCGGCCGGCGGCACCTGGAAGCCCTTCACCTTGATCAGCTCCTTCATGCGGTCCGTGATGTAGAAGAGCCCGTCCTCGTCGTAGAAGGCCACATCGCCGCTGCGCAGCCAGTTGCCCGGATAGAAGGTGACCTTGTTGGCCTCCTCGTTGTTCAGGTAGCCGGCCATCACCTGGGGTCCCCGGACGCACAGTTCGCCGGTGGTGCGCGGGCCCACGCCCTTGGCATCGACGCCGTCCAGGGGCACGATCTTGGCCTCCGTGCTGGCCGGCAGCACTCCGGTGGAGGCGTAGACCTTGTTGCCATCGGGCGTCAGGAGGGCCACGGGCGAGGCCTCGGTCATGCCGTACCCCTGCTTGAAGGAGGTGTTCGGGAATCTGTAAAAGTAGCATATTATTAGCTGAGGTTGTCCAGAAATATTTAATCGCCAACTCACTTGTGCAGGAAGCGCTCCACATCGTGCTGGCCAATGGGAGCTGCTCCGCTCATCACCACCTTCAAATGGGGCGCCGTCTCCTGCGTCATCTTGGGGTGGTTGATCATGAACAGGGCTGGGGAAACGAATATGCCAATTAATAGATTTAAATACTGGGTGTCAGTAGTAGATAGTAATTGGTAGATGTGCTAGTAAACAGCACCTAAAACCAGTATGACTCCGGCCTTCCCTAAATAGAATATCAAGCACAATAATCTTATATTTTAATCCAGTTTATATACTTAGATGAATTTTTAACTACTTTGTTTTGTTGATTAAAACCCGTTCTATACTACTTAGCTTACCTACACTTGCAATTTGTTAATCTGATAGCATACAGTGATAATTATTTTAACCAGCTATGCAAAACGAAAAGTAGACTGTTCGTTTTAAAATAAATCACAAATTAATTGATGGAAACCATTTATTTAGCACTTGCTAAAAATATATATGGAATTTTGTTTTAGTTTTTGACAAAAATAGAATAAATATATACGGGTTTTTAAAATATCAAATCATTCATTTTTAGCTCGGAAGGACTTTAAAGGGCTGAACAGTTTCTTTAAGAAATTTCAAATATTCCTAGGAACTTTTTCCCCTAACTCCCAATATTATTTTATACCTAATCCAACCCCTCACTACAAACTCATTACCAACTCACCAATGGGGGGCACCAGGTTGAGGATGCTGCCCTTGTACTTGTCCAGCGACCGCATGAAGTCGTCCGGCTTGAAGGCGGGCATGGTGGCCAGCCGGCAGCCCTGGCCGAGCTTGGAGAGCATCACGACGGTCAGGCCGTAGATGTGGAAGAAGGGCAGGACGCCGGGCAGCGTCTCCTGGGAGCCCAGGAGGTCCAGGGGCAGCGAGGCCTGCACCTGCTCGCAGTTGCTGGTGATGTTGTTGTGCGAGAGCATGACGCCCTTGGGCAGGCCGGTGGTGCCGGAGGAGAAGGGCAGGAAGACCATGTCGTCGGCGGTGGCCTCCTTGGGCGCCACCAGGTCCTCGTAGCGCACGTTCTGGGTGCTCGTCAGCTCGCTAAAGTCGATGGCTCCCTCGGGCAGCGCCTCCTCTGCACTCGTCCGCACCACAGCGATCGGTATCTGGCGGCCCACCAGTTTGCTGGCCTGGCTCAGGGTCGCGAATCCGGACACCGTTCCCACCAGGAACTTGGCCCCGCTGAAGGTCAGCTGCCTGGCGATCTCGTCTGCAATCGAAATGTGACTATTAGTGACGATCTTTCGACTTTGGAACCCCTAAATACAGATGTCAGCGCCCAAAGACCCCCAGATAAGGAGCCTTTGACGCACTCAAGAGCCCCCAATAAACACACTGGCACAGCGGTGGTCACGCAAATAGCTAATTGTTTGCCCAATTAACCGCTTAACTCTTATTTGCCCTAAACTTTTATGAAGGGTTTACGGGGGGTAATCGTAACGTATATATGTAGGTGTTATGGCTTGGGTTATTAAAAATTTTAATGTGTTATTTGTAGAAATTACTAGACAGGTTATATTTTCCCAAGGTTATATTTTCTGAAACATTTAATCCTCATTCAACTGACATTTTTTAAATAATACTACTACTACAAAACTATTGTAGGTAGCTCTCTTCCCTTACAATCACAACACAAATCTGTTTTCTTTTGTTCCTATTCTTTTGAAATATTTCTTTAGTTATAAATCATTTTACCCCATTGTCTGCTATATAATAAAAAAACAAAGTGCTATCCCACCGAACACCGCTGTACAGTGAGTATACATGTTATCACCGGCTTTTTGGCTAACCAAAAAACAGGGGACTTTTCTTTCTTACCCGGCGTGTAGACGGGATTCACTGTGGTCACCGTGAGGCCCGCCTCGATGGCGCCCAGGGTGGCGATGGGATACTCGGGGATATTCGGCAGACAGATGGCCATAACATCGGGTTTGTGCAGCTGGAACTTGGTCTGCAGACGAACGGCGAAGGCGGCACTGGCATCGCGCATCTGGGCGAAAGTGTACTGGCGATCGGTAATCACACAAACCTGAAAGAGAAAATATTAATTAATAATATTTCAATATTATGTTCCCCCTTTCCCCAATAATATTTGCCATAAAATCCCATGTAGATCAACCAAATCTGCAGATAACGACAAATCAAAATCAAAATCAAGCAAAGCCTGGGAAAACCCAAATGGTGCCACACAAATCTTATCTGAAGAACGTTTCGAGTGGAATCATATGTCCGAGTGGAATATTTATAGGGAGAAAGATCCCAAAACTACAATGTAGAACAGGTGTTATGGTGAAATTAACTAGAGCAATTATGCCAGTAATGCCCCCCGCTGATATGGGGCTAAATCGCTTACCACCCAATTAAAGACCTTCCCAGGAGCCCCATAAAAATTCCAAAAGCGATAAGATAATCCATTCAAATGACAATGGCAGCCTAATCAGCGAATGGAAAATCGGCTGTTTTATTTATCGGTCTCAACAGATTGAAAGTCATGTCTTTGGGATTTAGCTAAGGTCAGTTCGTTGGAAAATCAGGGATATTACTTAAATGATATAAAATGAGTTCTCAACTGATCTTATTTTGTGTTTCCCCCACAGGCCCTTTCACTGGCCTTGACTTCTCGCCACTCTGACCTCGTAACCGGTCTCCAGGGCTAAGGTGAAGGTCGTCGGATTCGCAAACGTCAGCTTAATGGGTGGGCGGTTAACGAGCAACGAAAGGGGGAGGTGGTTGGTGGCTGATTGGGGGATTGTTCGCCTAAATTTGCGCAGTCGGAAATCGCATTCGGTTAAAAATAAGCATTATAAATAGCAGCAGCAGCAGCAGCAGCAGCAGAGCCGCCAACAAGTTGCTCAAATTGAAGAAAACAACCCACAAACGAGGCAAACACACAGCCGCACATCATAATGAATAAATAAGCGAGTAAAAAATAAGAGAATCATTTCGTGCATTTGCCATATATTCCCCCTTGGGGTCCATCGAAAACCGCTTCGCTTGGCTTCAGTCGGTTGGCCGGTCCAAAGTTCAGTGGGGCAAAGTACAAAGTCTGCAAAGTCTAAACGAGTCGGGCCCCAAAGCAGCCCCCTCTGCTCCTCTCTTTCTGTCTGTGCCGCTCTATCTCTCTCTTGTCACCTACTCTGCGCTGCGTTTGTTGACTTTTCAGCCGCGAAGAACGGCCAGCTAGTCTTGTTGATTTCGAACAAAAAGTAGCTAAATAAATAGCCGAAAATATCTCACATTTTGGGTAGACATTTGGGAGAGTTAAGTACTTTCAATTGCGAATTATTAAGATCTGAAGGCATATACAATTTTAATCCAAAATATAAGAAACCACCAGTTGAACAAGTTTTTGAAAACATTTTCTTCCAAAATTTATAAACATAAATGTAAAAAACCTTATAAAAGAAGTAAAATATAAATAAATAAAAATTATACTGGTTTAAAAATATTTGCGAAAATATATCGTATCAATAAATCTTTAAAAAAACCTACCCCGCATGACCATTAAAAACCCAACTGATCATCACAGGAGGGCAATTAAGAGCGCCGAGAGAATAGATCGTGCCAAAATGCCGGAGGAGGCTGGACCTCGATCGACTGCTGACGTCGGCCCACGAAAAAACCAACAAAAATCAAAACAAACCCATCAAAATTATCAACCCAAAAAAAACGAAAATATAAAAATAAGTTCGAGGCAATTAAAAGCGCATTATACGGGCATATCAAGGAATTCGGGGGTTCATTTGGGTGCGACAAACACTTGAGCGAACCTCATATAAAATGGAAATTGATTAAAATTGACTGATTGCAACCATGAGTCATTCGTATGAGTGCATTTCTGAAGAAACAGTCTAATTTATTTTGAAATATTTACAACCTAAGAATCTTCAACTAGTTCCAAGAAATCCCGATATTATTCGGAACGTAAACAATTACTAATAAGTTCTGATTTTGAGCAAATATCACGTAGATAACTCTGCAGTTATGAGTCAAATAATAGCAATAATGCAATTTGTTTACTCCACAGAACTGCAAATATTTGTAAAGTCTGAAACAATGGAAGATCAGATTTGCGAAGAATGTGAAATATAATGATGACACGACGAAATCCCTATCTTATCTGCTGGAAACCCTTGGGAATAAGGGTATCTTCTAAGCACAAATATTTACAAGACCCTAGGCAAAAGGGTCTCTAAAGGGGCGGCTTAGGAATATTAGGGGGCGTGGCACCGAGTGGAAACAAAAGGCGATCTTTGTACTTTTAATTGCATTTAATTCAACAATTGCCTTGGTTCTCCGGTTACGCCTCTGCCCGACCATGTGGGCGATTACTACTCGGTTATATCAGACCGCTATATCAACCTCTCCTACATTGCACCAATGATGGCAATAAATTTCAATGAAAACGGTTTGCACTTTGATTTGCACAGGCACTTTGTATACACACATATATGCAGCTTCTAGCTAGACGAAAAGTGAAAAGTGTAAACAATTGGCGAAGGTCACTTCATCAGGGGAATGATTTATATGATATATGGGGGTTATGCAAGTGGGCGGATAACATTACATCGGTTACTCTTTATTCTCCCTTGACAATCAGTCGACGCGATTCATTTAATCGTGAGATTTGCTTATCTCAAATCCCCGGCAATTTGCCTCGACCACTTGACTGGCTTCCAGTGAGCCATGGATGAAGAACCGGAACGGGAATCGCATTTGGAATCGGAATAAAAATCGAAATAGTGAGTTCTCTCGTATCGGTAGTATATATAGTATAACCCCCGCTGTTTACTACATTTCACTTTCGCTCTTATCACAGAACCGACCTGCCGAGTGCGCTTATCGGCACAACCCGTCATTAGCGATGTCCGATAAGGGGACGGAGGGGCCTTAATGACCCAAATACCATATTTGCCATAGACTATACCTAGACCCTCTCTATCGGACTGATAGCGCTGGCTGTGGCGATGATAATGGGACCGTGGAACTGGTAATACTATTGGACCGCGGGGGGGATTTGTGCGATGGAGGATACCAAGATACGGAATACATGGGAATACAGAGCTCTACACACATCACCATTGCAAAAATGCTCGAGGCAGACGCAAATCAGACTGTCGAATGCCAGTGCCCGTATAAATATATCGCTTTATATATAGACGTAGGTTCAGGTTCAATAAACCGCCATAAACAAATAAAGAATTTCTGAGCGGCGCCTACGACAACGATTGCAACGATTTCGATTGCGTGAATTTATGATGTGATTGGGTTTACGGTTTACGATTTACGGGGCTTTAATTGTGCTCGGGCTTACGTTTACGTTTGCGTTTATGTTGGGCTCATTCAAATAGTAAATTCGATTTTAATTGCCGATCGGAGATGAGGTGTTTCAATGGGTTCCGGAATTATGGATTGTTGTTAGATTTTAGATAGTTGGGGTAGGATGATGGGCTTTCAGGAACCTGGGTTCTTTTTAGAAATATTTTACTTATTAGGATTTTAAGATTATTTATATTATTTTGTAGAATTAATTGAGAGGTTTTTTAAAGGCCACTTTCCTACAAAACTAAACTCTATACATAGCTTGTATTATTTTTCAAGAGTTACGAATTAACCAGAAATCATGGATTCATAGCCCTTGAAATTATAAGAACTTCAGCTTTACCCTGACATTTCAAAGATAAAGAAGTGTTGTGATTTATAGATTTAACAGCTTATTTTCAGGAAGGACTAGGAACCACCTGAGGGAATGTTTCCAAACACCGATAGCTGATAACCGATAACTGATCACTGATCACTAATCACTTTTTCTGTGCCACTTACCGCGGCTGTGCGTCGCTCCCACTTCTTGAAGTCGCGCCACACGTACTCGTGCAAAGGGACGTTGGGAATGGTGACGGGGTCAAAGGGCGAGGTCTTGTAGTAGCCGTCCTCGGCGCTGTAGTGCAGGAACTTATCGGTCTCGCTGACGCCCTGCGTCCGCTCCCGCTGCGCGCTGGCGGTACTGGTGGTCCGCTCGCGCCGGTTGGTCGAAATGGAGCGCGTGGCCGCGCTGCTCAAGGCGGTGGCGCTGCGCAGGCGCAGCAACTGAGCGGCTGGATTCATGGCGTTTCACTTGCTTTTCGTTTCAGTGTAGAAAAGATTTTGGGGGCTGGGATATGGATGCTTGTATTTGAGGTCCGGAATTCACTGCTGCTGCTGCTGCCACACGTCTGCTGCTGTCGGGTGCTGAGACACGACTGGCGACGCCGCGCGGCGCTGGGAAAAAGTAATGCCGCCGCGCTACTCACCAACCCACCAACACCAACAAAAACAACGACGCACGATCGCGTTGGCGGTGCGCCGTATTGCTGTCCCGCTCTTAGGTACACTGGAAATAAATATACAAAATATACAATTTAGTTTAAGTTATGTTGTTATAATTATAAAATGAATAATTATAAAATATAGTGAAGAATTCAAGAAAAAAACGTCACCTTTTTTATTAATATTATTTTAAAACATTAAAACATTTTATAATAATATTTTTTATTTATTTATTTATTTTATTTTTTTTTGTCATATAGAACCATTTTACCATTTCGATATGAACGCATACCAGAGTTTTTGTTCAGTGTGTATGCTGCAGTGCCGTTGCTGTTGTTGTCCTTCTTCGGAATGCACTCTCTCAATCTCCCGCTCTCCCTCTCCGAAGACAGTGGCCAGCAACTGTAAATTGTAAAGTGAAACGATCTGTCAATAATGCAATGCTACTTAAAACTGATCCAAAATTGCTGGAAAAAAAAAACACAAAACAAAAAATAATAGGTAAACACCGTGTTAGTCACTTGATATATAAGAAAACAGGCCCTTTAAGTTGTCACGTTGTTGAACCCTTCGAGAAACTAGAGATACGACCATATAATTACACCTCCAGTTGTTATTATTGACACTTGAATATTTCGAGTGGAAGAGGTGGCCTCTCGAAGCAACTCGGCTTGTTTCCAGTGCACCACTTTAAGTAACTCCCGTGAACAGTGGCTGCCAAGTGCTAGACCTGCATTCCCACGTACTTAACCCCCCATCCCCCTGGAAACCCCCTTTCCCGCCCCTGGCTTATCGTTATCGCGATGCAATGGCTTCTTGATGTCTACGCATGACTTGCAGGCCTTTCCCGCGCTGCTTATCACCCCAATTATTAAGTGTGGTATGGCTAACAGCCGATGGTAATAATATTGTGAACCTTGATCACTGACTCAAGACATGCTAATCCCCTTGGAACACCTGTAGCGGGTGGGGGTGTAAGTAATCTGACTAAATTCTTGAAAGGGGGCTTTTTTCTAGTTTCGAGGTGATCCATAAAGAACGAAACCGTTTTGACTCATTTAACATGATTCTTAAGTTCATAATGCGGAACTTTTCAATATATTATTTCTATTATTTATGACCAGTTGAGTACTTTTTCAGATTTCTGATAAAACGTAACGGAGTTTTATTTTATACGATTACAAATGTTGTATATATGATTCAGAAATATTCGTCATATTGCTTCAACTAAAACCTTTAACATACTTTCGGTAGAAAAGTACCTGACCGATAAGCACGAATCAGAAAAATTGACTTGCTAAAATTGCGGGAGATCCCTTATACAATATATCCACCCCAGTAGAATTTTGTTTATTTTTTTTTTAAGATATTAATGTGAAACTTGGTAGGATGTTGTCTTATACCATAGCACAGCATCATGTGAAGTTTGGTTAAAGTAGAACAGCTGCCATAGGCCTAAATGACCTTTAAAGGTATTTGCAAAATCACTGGAAATCATTTTTAGATCTTTTGACTTCCAGTGACGAGTGCATTCACCTTTGTCAAGTGTTTGAATGGGAAACTCAACACTCTTGGCCGCAGGTTTCACCAGCTGGGGGAAATTCTGCGTTTGAAATGGACACCGTGTAAGACAGCAACAAAATCCCCACAATCTATGTGTGTAACACGAGCAACAAACAAATCCCCCCGCAGCAGTAGGAAACATCAACAACAATTAGAGAGCAACGTAAGCGGGGCTCAAGGCCAAAAATAGGCCCTCCCTCTCCCACTCGCACATTCTGATAGTTCTGATTCTTTCCCACTCCGCCTTAATTTGCATGCTCCTCTCTCCACCTCTCTCCTCCTCTCTACCTCTCTCTTACATCGATCGCGTTATTGCATTTGCATTGAGAGAAAAGAAAAAAAAACAGAGCGTTACAGTGGGCCTGATATCCAGTTTTATATAGTATACCATATAGTTGGGGATTATGGATATCGTATACGTGTTATTCAACAGCCGAATGCATTTCAAACTTATCTTGAGTAAACTCACATATAATGTGCTTATTTTATTCGCATAACAAATCAAACAACATTTAAAATGCACCACACACATTGTGTGTCTCTCTCTCTCGCTCTGGCTCTCCCACGTCCACAGCAGAGTTCAAGACTATAGCACCACACTTAATTTACTACAAACTATTACTATAAAGGATATAAAAAAATTAGTTTTAAAATATGTACATCTTTCTATTATTTTATAACCGAAAGACTAAATTTTGTCAAGTGATTTTCAGTCTTGGTGGAAAAAACTCTCTCTTCAAGGCGTTTCTGTAGGAACTCAGAATAATCAACAGGTCTTCAGGGCACATGGATAAACTTTATGATACCCATATGCTAAATGTGCGGAGACGCCTGTGCGAAGCATGCCAAATTTGTGCGTTTTGTGCGAAAACAAGTCGTCGTACTTTCTTGGGGCTGTTTCGTGTTGAACTTTGTACCCTGGCTCAAAGTGGTTCGAGGCCCCCTCCCCTTCCCCTTCCCCACCCACCTTCTGCCTTCTAAAAAGCGGGACCAAAACAAACTCCAAAATGTTTATCCAAGCAAACCAGTTTTTCTCGACTTCATTAACGTTGTTGCATCTGAGTTTTTTTGGTTTTTTATTCCCATTTTTGTATTTTTTTATTTGCTGCAGCTCCAACTTGTTTATGGTTGTTATTTTCGAGCTGTATTATGGGGGGATTTAGATTTCTCGGGTGTAGGGTTCAACTTTTTCGGATGCTTTATCAGTTTTTATTGGGGGGATTTGCCACAGGTTTCGGTTTTTAGGTTTTTAGTTTCAGCTTCCGTCGCTCACTGTCACTCACTCACACACCTGCACTCTAATTTGGTAATCTGCTGTGCTCAGCGTTCGTTGGAGAACTGCCACCAACTTGATGCTCTGCCCAAAAAGTGAGGGGGGGGTGAAAGGGGGTATCTGCCCCATAGTGGTTGCTTTCGCTCTCTCCTCACAAGAGCGAAATGGAAGAGAGCACATTGGCGGGGGTGGCATTGCCACTCAGTGCTGGCATTCTGGCACATTTCTCACTATTTTCCAGGTATGTATATAGTATAATTATAATGATAAAACTTTAAAAATCTTAAGACAGACTACTATTATTTTGACCGCAGCTGTATCTCTTTCTCTTGAAGAAAATCATAATCCCTATCCTAATCCTGTAGGATTCGTAATATAAAGAGTGGCACTTTTCAATGCTTTGACTTTTTAACAAACCAAAAGCCCTTTCGCCTGTAATAACCCTCCAAAGCTCTAAAAGTCATTTTGATTAACTTGCGGGAATGTGTTTAAATCCTAATTCGACCTACTATAATTTTAAATACATGTATAAAAGCCTCGCTAAACTTAAAAAGGTTGCGAAAATTGGGTAAACTGTGATCAGGAAAGCTCGAGACGTGAAAGCTGTACAATATAATTAAAGCCAAAATGTCGAATGTAGATTATTATATTTAGTAAATGTACATCTGCGCCACCTGCTGGTAAATAACCCTTACATGTTGGTATTACTAACTCCATATGGCGCTTTGAAGTCATCGAAATTTGGAAAGGTTTTTAATATTGGCCTTTTACGACGGTATCGATAGTACCCGCTTATTTAAAAATTGTTGTATATACGAAATGGTTTTTTGTTTTGTATTAGAAATTCTCGAATTCCATTTACTTAAGATTAGATTTTGAATTGCAATCTACCACATTACCAACGTCGAACAGGTCTATTATCCCTTAAAAATGTACAAGTAAATGAGGTACAATTTTGAACATAGTTAATCTGAATATAAGTTTCAAGACTTTAAACCTGTTTTAAAGTGAGCTGGGAAATATGAATTTTATTCCGCAAGACTGGAAGTAATTGAAGAATAAGAAATTCTCATTTTTCATACCACAACTTAAAACACTTTAAATTTTTTTGAGTTTTGAATTTCCTAGTGAGTATTTTGAAATCGATACCGGCAGCGCGCCTGTACCGTTAGGCCTACGCCATATATCGATACTATCGCGAGTGCCGCCACCTGGCGGGTGACTAAATTTAAACAGGGCTGTTGCAAGCAATCGATGTTTAAAAGAAGGAAAAGGACCTGTGTAATCGGTGGGGCCATCGATGTTTTTCCAGCTCTAGTCGCGCGCAACTCACTCGTAGTCGACTTTTAGGTGCGTAGTCGCGAAAAACTATGAAGACGCAGCTCTCGCGTCGAGCGGTCCTCAGAATCCTCCGGTCGTCCTCCAGTTCAAAAAATCAGCAAATAAATCCAACATTTCTGTGCGCCATTCGAATGGAATTTTTTTTTCTATTTTTTTTCGGCGATTTTTTGCGAAATTACAGTGGTGTCGAGAGGGGGTGGAAAATCGCGAGGGGGGCGGAGGAGGAGGGGGCAGGGGGCGCGCACGTGTCGACTTCGCAGTCGGCGTCGCAGTCGGCAATTGTTGCACGCTGCTCCTCCGCGTTTCTTGCTTCTTGTTCTTTCTTGTTTGTTGTGTGCTTCTTCGTGTCCCGTTAATGGTTTCTTCTTCTCCTCCACCCCCCATTGCCCACACACAACTGCAGTGCAAAGTGAAATGCGAAAAACGCGTCGCAGAGTAATCACATCGCAAATACAGCGAAATTAAGAGAATTGAAGAATCAAGCGAAACCCAGTGAAGAATCGAAACGAATCGAATCGAAAGGAAGAATCGGAAGAAGAATCAGAATCAGCGGAATCGGAATCGGAATAACACTAAATATATGTAACCACCATTAAAAAGCAATCAAAAAAGCAACCAAACAAACAACAAAAAGCAACAAAAGGTAATCACAAGAAGAACGAAATATTGTGTAATGAAGTTGAATTTCTTTTGCCCAAAAAGAAAAGTCGAGTAAGAGAAAGAAAGTGCGAGAGAGAGAGAGAGAGCTGAAGAGAAAGCGGCATAAACACACTTCTAATTGTAATTGTTGTCTACTGTCGCTCTGCCGGCGTCGCTGCCGCCACTAAAAGTTTTTCCTGGCTGCGCGAAAGGGACAGCAGGCACGGCAGCCAAGTTTTCCCCAAAGAAAAGCCAGGCGAAAGCCAAGGAAAAGGAAATGAGCAAGGAGAAGGAGTAGGAGTAGTGGAAAAAATGAACATAATAAGTTAAATTTGCGTGCTCTTGGTTTTTCGTTAATTCATGGCTTTCTTATTTATTTATTCGGTTTTTCTTCGCTCTTTATTGTTTTCTTAGTTTTTCTCCCCCGTTTTTCTGCTCCCCGCTGAATGTGTGTCAGCCAACCAAAAAAATGAAGTGCGCAATTATGTCAGCAACTAAATAAAGCGAAATAAGTCCTGGCAACTACAACAATTGGTTGCTTTTCAAGTGCAGCTAAAACACACACACACTCACGCTCACACACACACACCCGCACTTTGCGGTTGCATAAGTGTCAACCGCAACACACGCGTGCAGTTTGACAGCCACTGAGGGTCCTTAAGGTGAGACCCAAAAAAGTGTGCTATAAAAATTCCTTGCTGCGCCTTAAACTAGGCAATAATTATTCGACAAGTGACTTTACTAAATTGCAGCACTCTTTTAGGTGCTTTAACTATACGAAAACAGCGATTTTAAATACCTTTTTTTTTAACCAGGAAATTGAGATAGAAATAATATTCTTTTGACCCGCTTTCAAAGTATTTTTTTTGTAATTTATTAATATTCAAGTACGAAAAGCTGAAAGTTTGAGTTAGCTAAAGTTCAGAAAGATTGGACTTGTGAAAGTTCGAGCAAGAAAAGTTCCACTGTACAGGTGAAACGGGGTAAAAGTGGGCGTCCTGAGTTAGTTGACATCCACACAAGATTGATATTATTGCCCTTTACACCCACAAACACACACGTACAGTGAGTCACAGCAACAGGAAACGGGTAAAACGTAAAACTACTTAAATATTTAAAGCATTTGATGCCAAAAGGGAGGGTGATAAAGGGGGGCGACAGGGAGGACGTGAAATTGAATGGTTCCGCCCACTTTTTGCGCCTGAAAGTATGCAAACAATGCCAAATGGCACCAACACAAATACAACTGTCGAGTAAATCTTTAGCAAGTTTTCCGCCCGCCCAAGAAAACGCGAGAAAACCCACAGAAAAAAAAAGAACAACCGAATTCACAAGAAGAGCCCAGCAATTTTGTCACGCATGTGTGGCTTGAAGTGTGTGTGTGTTGTGTGTGTGTGTGGGCCAAATGAAAAGAGCCAAAACATTAAAAATGTACCAGCAACCACAGCAACAACAACAACACGAATAACAAAAATAACAAGAATATCAAGAATAACGGGAATAACACAAAGAAAGTCCAAGCTGACGGGCGCCGCAATTTGCTGTTAACATAAAATAAATAAAAAGAAGCAAATACACATCTAAAGATACACATGTATGTATACCGAACATGCATAGTATATATATCTAGATGTATTTGCTACGCTTTTGGCAGTTGACTTTTGGCTCTCACTGTTCCTGTTCCCATTCGAAATTTTTCAATTTTACTCTGCGCATATTTAATAAGACAAATCGTAAATGAGATTCGCCACACATACAGCCCTATTTTTACACTGAACGCAAATAGGTACTTAAATTATTTAAATAGAAATAGCTGGGTTTTTGAAATCTCCTTAAAATGTCAAAAAGTATGCAACAACATATTTTTGGCCCAAAAGTACTGTGAAATCATACAGGAAGACGTCTATGCTTCATTCACTGCATACTTTTAGACACTTATTTTGAAATCTAAAAGTAATTTCCTTTTTTAATAGCAGTGCCGCGTTCTACTTTTATTGCTCAAAGTTAATGAAGTGTAAGCTGGGGGGAACGAGTAGGGGAATATCCTGGCTAATCAATCAAGCGGCATCAATAAACCCCGTAAACAGATTTGCAAAATAATTTATGCTCGTTGGAAAAATCCAAATCAAACTTTACGTACTTCGGGGGGACTTAAAAAATATTCGCTGTCGGATTTCCATAAAATATGTGAAATGTTTAGCTGCCAACCGTCGCTTGTCCTTTTTTTTCCCTGACCCTGCGCAAATGTTTTATGTTTGACATCCGCTGGCATCCGTGTTGCCTTGCCGTGGCTTCCGTTTCCGGATGGCGCTGCATTCGCTGGCTCCCCCTTCCATCCCCTTTCCGCCTTCCTAACTGCATTATCGTTTTGCCTGCTATCTACACTGGGCGGAAAAGCGGCCATTTACAAGATAGTTTCCCATGATTGACTATTTTTATTGGCCATTCAAAATGGAACTTTTTGTACTCCCTTTTCCAAGAAAACTCGGTTTTTCCTGCCCGTTTTAATTCCCAGCGATTTGAATTCTCTAAGGAAGGTGTCTAAAAGTATGCAACCTTTTCAGAATTCACTTGGATTTCTCCTTGTGCAGGCAGCGGCACTTATCGCCATGCGGTGGAACTAGCAGCCGGACCACCTGCTGACTTCCTGTCAGATTGTCAGACTGTTTGGCTTGGCTTTTGGCTGTGGCAGTGGCTTGGCTTCTTTGCCTGGCAGCAGCGAGGACTCGAGACTGGAGACTCGCTCCTGGCGTCCTTGTCCTCGTTGACCTTGTGCCCGAGATCTGGCTGTCGTATCAAAACAAGTTTATTAACATTCCACTGGCTATCAAAGCGGTGCTTCAGCCCCCGCCCCTTTGGTTGTTGGCAGGTGCCCCCGAGTGGGAGGGATTCTGGGTAGGGGGAGGAGGGGGTGGGCAATTACATATGTAAAATGTGGCCACAGTTTGGCAGCCATTGGGGCGAACGGGCACGCCGTCCTGTCGCCATAAAATTGGAGCAAGTTTTTCCCCGGAAAAGCGGAACCCGCAGAGGCTGGAAGCCAGGGCTGGCGACCTTTTATTGGGTTCTTAAGATGTCTGATATTTTATAAATTAAATAATATTTACTATAACTAGAGATTTGAAATCTCTTCAAAGGGTGTCTAAAAGTAGGCAACAATATATTTAATCACAAAAGTCGGACAATTTTTCAAAGCATACTTAACGTGTGCATTTTCAACCTTTTAGAAAATCCATTTGGATTATTTGATATATGTTTTTGACAAACCTACCTGAGGCCGAATCCGAAGATTCCAGCTTCTCCAGCGAAGGGAACTCACCAAAGCACGTGCGCAATATGTAAATTTATTTATTTCCCCGTTGTTGCTGCTTTTTTCAGCTTTTTCCGCCTTTTCGTCTGTTTTTCCCCAGTTTTGCCCAGTTTTTGGCTTTTTGGTTTCTGCTCTTCTTGGCCCTTGGCTTGATGTTGTTTTTATGTTAATGTGCCCGGCCGAATGTGAGTGTGTGTGCGGGTTAGTCCCTAAGCTCTGTGTGTGTCTGTGCGCCCCGTCCCGCTCCTTCAAGATCCTTCCTCTCATGTGCTTGCTCATTGCTTTTAATAGCCAACAACACGCCATGCATTAATTTATGAATTTCGTGTTGTACCCGGCTGAAGCGGCCAGAAGCGGACAGAAGCGGGCGTGGCCTTTCCGCCCACCCGGAAAGCTTTTAGCCGGAGATCCAAAAAGCCGCAGAAATAATTAAAAAAAAAAGAAAATAAAGGCAGTCTACAAAAAGGCCGAAGACACACTTCAAATATCTCCGCCCGAAGACTTAATAAATTATTACCTGTAGCTGCGTTTTCTTATAATTTTTTATAATATTTCTTTATCGACCTCAGAAGCAATTTATTCCAAAATATTTTTACCTTGTATTTATTTATAATTGAAAACTTTCTGTATTTATAAAGACTTTAAATAATGCTTTAATTGTAAATGATAAATAAATAAATATGATAAATGAAAGTTCATTAGTAGTCATAATATCCCATTTATTGTAGCCTTCTGCATTATTTTTCACAATTATTGCTCAGCCTCGAAATTAAAAATTTTCATGGGCCACAAATATTCATAAAATGTCCGTAATTAACAATCGGATGGAAGTGGTTACATCGAGAGATACACATTTTGATTTGTAATGATAGTCTAGGCTTTTTTATGAGTATTAAAACAAAAAGGCAATTGCATTTGATTTTTGACAACATTTATTTTAATCTCTGCACATGCTCATTGCCTACAGAAACCAGAATAATTTATAATTGTACTTAAAAGCATTTAATAATTTAAAGTAACCGACTGACAAACTACCTGTTTTAGTCGTAATATGTTTACAGTCAAAGTTTTGCAATTATCATTTTTGTCGCAAGCCACGAATATGTTTAACAATTTGAAATGACACCGCCGGGTGTTTTGGTTGCAAAAACCGCATAACTTTATTACACGAATGAAAGGTAACTGTCGAGGACTTTAATTTCGCCAGCCACAGATATTTAAAACAAGTTGCGAGTGCTGGTATCCATTACGCATTTATTTGCTCTGAAAGGCAACATAATTTGTTTATCGAAGGCGAAAGTAAGTGACCGGAAATGGAAAACTTTTTGCAGGCCAATGGCTTCTAAAGTTATTTTCTCTCTCTCTGAAGTGGCTGTCAAACTGTAGACGCCAGTTTGTCGACCGCCCAAATGTCGCAGCATACTTTTCGGCGGGCGCTGTAAAACTATTACACTTATTGTCGCTGTGCGTGCGAGTGTGTGTGTGTGTGTGTGTGGGGGATCCCCCAAAAAGTGAGAGAAAGGGATGCCCTATTATTGTTGCCTCTTCTTCGATTTTCAGTTTTTTTCTCTTATTTTTTTTCGCCTCTTTTTTTTGTTTGCCTTGCTTTGGCCTATTGTTTGCTTATCATGTGCATGGGTATGGGTGTGTGTGTGTGAGCGTTTTCTTACTGTGTCAATATTTTTTGGCGTAAG